GACACCTGCCCCCTAGTAAAGCTATTTCTGATAGCTCTAGATGTCTGTCGATTAACCCGTTAAGGACTAAGGCAGTCATCTAGCTTTATAACCAAAGCGTAGAATTTGATAAATTGCACTTTGTTTGATTCATGATTCCGAGTCCTGCCCATGCCCCTCCTCTTCCCCAAAAAACAGAGATGACCGATTGGAAAAAAGATGATTGATGGCTCGGGGACAGCCACTAGCTAGTATTATTTGTAGATCAATTGAAAAATGAGAAATGGAAGGAAAAAACGAGGAGCAGTAAACACAAATGTATACATATTATATAATTAATAAATATACATATAAATAAAGATGTCTTACGGCTCCACTTCCTTTTACCTCTATTAGTTAATTTTTCTCACTTGATCTGTGAGACCTATTGGTCTACTGCAAAATTGATACATAATATTATGTGTATGTTTTTCAGTACATGGATTGGACAATTTTTGTGTTTTTTTTTTTTTTTGTCTGATTAATTTTCTCGCATTTATTTCAGCGGCCAAATGGGGGAATTTCTGACGAGCTGAACCATCAAATGCACGAAATTCTGCCGTCCAGAAGTGTTTTTTTGAAAAATTTTGTATATGGAGGTTCAGCGGAAACTATTTTTTTCCGCTGTGTGCAAATCTAACAGATACCATTTTTTAAAAGACAGATTGTGTTTTTTGATACACGTAGATAACTTTATATATATAATAACCTCATGATGATATTTTTTTGCAGTGGGGTGGAGGGATTACTGTTGTATGCAGAAAATACACACAAAAAACAACTTGTACAGAGTAAACACGAGTACACTATCACTTCAGCTAACATATTAAATATCTATATTAATAAAGGATTCATTAAAATGAACTGTAAGAGAGCTGAAAAAAGGGTTAAGGGAACAAAAGAAAAAATATATATAATAATAATTGGTGGCCCAATAACAAACTCAATGACAAACCCCAGGAGGCAACATTGGCTAGGTGCTCTGCAAGATAATCTCACTGAAAGCCTAAAACTACAATTGTGTGCAAGGAATGGAGTTTGGCTGGTACTCTATACAGGACTCAAGTACAAATTCAACTTTGACTCAACATTTACTGTATTCTTAGTTGGCCGTAATAATTTTTTTTTTTAAAAATATTTTTAATTTTTTTTCTCCCTTACATAGAAAGAGGTGAGTCTTTGTACATGATTAAGACTTCGAAAAATACGAGCTTTCTGGTTATTTTGTGTGTTTTCTCGGGTCTCACCTCTCCCCGCCGCCCCTAACTTTTTATTTTTACATGTATCTCATCAAATCACAAGTAAGTCTACATGTGATACATACTACTTCAATGTAATCATATACGGCTGACTCATGCGTTTGGGATTAACTATCTTGCACATGATATAAACAGTCACTAAATAAAACCTGGGGAAAGGATATTGCCTTTTAAATAAATCCTGACAGCTGTGGAAAATATTATGCACAGATGCAATACCTAATATGCTATTTACATTAATTCCTAGGGAACTCAAAACGTCTTATCGCAAATTGTTTAGCTGTAATTTCAGAGTCATTTCTTATTGACTAGACATAGTGAAGTGAGATTAAAATCCTATCATGCTTTCAAAATAAAAATAAAACATGTCTAGAGCAATAATTGCATTTGACAAAAAACTGGAGCGAGAATTTAATATCTATGTCTGTGTGCAACCACAAACACAAATTTTTATATTTTTTTAGGTACAATTTTTATGTTCTTTACTATACAAGCACAATATATATATAGCCATCCAGCCTGCATTTACAAATATTTGTAAAAAGAATGGATCATTCTAAAGAGCTCAGAGAATTCACTGCGAAAGGATGCTACCTTTGCAAAAACTCAGTTCGGGAAGTTTTTTACCCTACTAGACATTCCACATTTAACTGTAAGTCATATTATTGGAAAGTGGAAGTGTTTAGGAACATCAGCAACTCAGCCACGGAGTGGAAGACCACATAAAGTCACAGAGCAGGGTCACTCAGTGGTGAGGCGCATGGTGCGTAAATGTCACCAAGGCTCTGCTGAGTCCAGAGATAAAGAGCTTCTAACATCCACTGGCACAAAAACTGTGCAGTGGGTGCTTCATGGAATGGGTTTCCATGGCCGAGCAGCTGCATGCAATCACACCACCAAGTACAACGCCAAGCGTCCGATCTAGTGGTGTAAAGGACGCCACCACTGGACTCTGAAGAAATGGAAACATGTTCTGTGGAGATATGAATCACACTTCTCTCTTTGGCAGTCTGATGGGCGAGTCTGGATATGGAGGATGCCAGGAAAACGTTACCTGCCTGACTGCACTGTACCAACCGTAAAGTTTGGGGGAGGAGGATAAGGGTATGGGGTTGTTTTTTAGAGGTTGGGTTAGGTCCTTTATATACAGTGAAGATAAATCTTAATCCTTTCGTATAGACATTTTGGACAATGCTATGCTTCCAACTTTGTGGAAACAGTTTGGGGAAGGGCCTTTTCTATTCCAGCATGAATGTGGTCAGTGCACAAAGCAAGGTCCATAAACACATGGTGGGATGAGTTTGGGGTTGAAGACTGGCCCACACAGAGCCCTGACCTCAACCCCATTTAACATCTTTGGGATGAACTGGAACAGAGATTGCAAGCCAGGTCTTCTCATCCAACATCAATGCCTGACCTCACAAACGCTCTACTCGATGAATGGGCAAACATTCCCACAGGAACACTCCAAAATGTTGTGGAAAGCCTTCCTAGAAAGCGGTTATAGCTGCAAAGTGGGGACCAATTACAAAATCATTTTTATGAATTTAGAATGCAATGTTATAAAGGTCCCTGATAGTGTAATGGTCTGGTGTGTCAATACATTTGTCCATATAGTGTGTATATAAATATAAATAAATGTGGTGTGTTTTGTTTTTTTGTATTATTCTGTTTTGTTTAGAGTTTCCTCATTACAAGCTTGCTTGGGCCTGAAAGCAGGTTATGCATTTTGTTCTTCGTGAGCCTTCAGCTGATCAGATCCGACACTGGTGACATAAAACAAACACAGAGGTTGGAGCCATATATATTTACTTAATTTTCTGTTAGTATTCACAGAATGACAAAGCTGTCTCCTTGACCTGCACCAGTTCAGACAGTATTGTTTGTTTTCTTTTCCCTAACATGTAGAGTTTTGTTTTTGTTTTTTAAAAACTTGCTATATCTTGTTTTTGTAGATAGATTACAACTTAACAAATGCATAGCATGATATTTAACATTTTCAAATAATTTTTTTGGCAACGTCAATCCTACTGCAATGTTCTACAAATTGGTATTCATGCTTCTACGCTGATAATTCAGAACCCTTTGTATTACAAGACACTGGTTACTGCCTATTTTATTATACCATAGCCGCCCCTATAACCAGATAATTGATACAGAATTTAATATGTGTAAGGATATATATAACATTTTATTTATTTTTTCAATATTTTTAAATTTTCACATATATATACATACCGAGCTTACAATTGGAGGTCCTTTGCTAATGTCCAAGCTTTAACAGTTAGCCAACTCATAGCAGGATCACCAGAGGAAAATTAGCCAGGGCTAAACTTTTTACTGGCCAATGGCTAGTGGAAATTTTGAGCCTATATATATATATATATATATATATACATACATATATTCAGGAATATAAAACAGAACCCTCCTACTCCAATGACTGGTAGAGGACCCAAATATGAGGAATGCAAAAATTGCCAAAATTAATAAGTCAATTATTCATTGGGTTCTATAAGACATTTGTCCATTTCTGGTATTATCTTTTCATGTTCTATTTCTCTGTTATTTTGTGTTTTATGAAATCATAACTCCCAACAGTCAGGTTATATAAGAATGTCCATTTTGGTTTTGGTCTCGGGACACCACGATATGCAATGTTGAAAATGTATCATTAGAGAAATAACTCCAAAGCATTCAGAGTGCTTCAATATCTCTCTGCTCATGGGCTACCATGAATGGAACTGGCCAGGCCGGCATGTTCTATACCACATCAACAGTGATGGCACAGCATGATTAGTATAGCCTGCCTAAACTGCATAACTGATCCGACCCACCTCTATCCAGCATTTACAGTCACGTCTATGAATATTGAGACATCACCACAATTCTAATCTTTTTGGCTCTATACACCACCACAATGGATTTGAAATGAAATGAACAAGATGTGCTTTAACCGCAGACTTTCAGCTTTAATCTGAGGGTATTTACATCCAAATCAGGTGAACGGTGTAGGAATTACAACAGATTATTGGTTGGGTTAGGGTCAGATTATGAGTAAAATGATGGGTTGGATAAGGGGTTGGAATATGGGTTGAATTAAAAGTTGCATTAAAGGTTGGAGTAGGGGTAGGATTAGGGGATAAGGAATACATGTGGGGTATCATTGTATTCGAGAACAGTAGCTGAATACAAATATGTGGTGTTGGCAGTAGTGGGACACACGTTGTCTATTACCTAAAATAAAACATGTGTTGAAAAAAAACAACCCCCCCCCCCAAAAAAAAAATATCAAATTTTACCTAGGTGTCAACAAACTAAAGACAGAGTGGAGGATGCAACACTTGGTACTGAAAATTGAATAATGAAAAGGTGAAATGTCACCTGTTATAAGAATAAACTTTTAATACTTCGTTATATAAAAAAGTCCAGACAGGACTGGTACAAAAACTAACAACAATCTAGACAACTAATACTATAGACAAAAATACAAAAGTACATCTTAAAAACAACTCAATCTGGGGGCAGAGCCTGAAAACCAATGGAGCAGGACGTGTGAAGCCTGAGCTCTCCCATCCATGAGCCTGAATCCGCCAACATCGGCATCTCTTACCGGGCATCCAGCCGCACAAACGGGCTCTAACGCACCCACAAACCCTCCCACTCAGCATCACAATGGGGGGAAACAAAAAAAAAAAGGAAACCCCACTATCGGTGGCATCCATGTTCCGAGCCACCAGGGATCATGGGCGGCCATCTTTAAGCCAGGAAGCCCGCGAATCCGGAGCAGACTCAGACGACAGCGAGGCTCCAGACAGAGAAACAACCACTTACCCAGGTACACAAGAACCTTTAACCAAAACTGACCTTCACCAGATGTTGCTGGCCGCCTCAGCGGACATCAAGGCACACACGGCCGCAGAACTGGAGCGGCACATATCAGGCCTCAAAGGTGAAATCGAGACCCTGAACAACCGCACATCACAATAACATCAGGATAAGGGGCATACCAGAATCAGTAGACGCGGACGCCATATTGCCCACGCTATAGGACATATTCCAGTCCCTACTCCCAAACTCCTCAGACCAGGAGAGGGAACTAGACAGGGCGCACAGGGCCCTGCGGCCACTGGCCCTTAACCCGTCAGTCCCAAGAGACATAATTGTCCGCCTGTTACACTTCGCCACCAAGGAAAAACTTATGGCAGCAGCCAGAACCACACAACCAAAACATGGGACCCACACGCTAGCTTTCTTTCAGGACCTAGCTCCAACTACAGTGAAGAAACGAAGGGACCTAAAACCCCTCACCACAGCACTGGCACAAAAAGGACTGAGATACAGGTGGGGCCACCCCTTCAAATTACAAGTCCGCATAGGAGACCAAGACCACACGTTACACCACCCGGCCGAAATGGAAGAATTTGCAGCAATATTGGGGCTTCAGCTTACCACAGGAGTTCCAGCAAGGGACCGACGCAGCAACAACAAACCCAGGGAGGACCACAACCAACAAATACCCCGACAACAAGCTAAGAAGAGACCCCCCCCAACAACCTGGACTGCCAACCAGGCGCCAATGACCTGAAACCGGCCCTGGTAGCCGCTGCACTCTTATTCTGATTGGCGGAAACCACCGCAGAAAACCAAATGATAACCCAGGCCTGTATGCCCTGAAATGTTTTAATATTTATACATGTTTCTGTTATAATGTTAATAGGGAGGTTTGAACGTTAATGACCCTATATAAAAACCATTCCGCACTACAGGCCGGGGCCTAAAACACCTACCCCATAAGGTACCCTTGTCCCCCTCTATAGGTAAAATTACCCACTTTAGGGGTGCAGGCCCGACCGGCACCGTCACTAGGCCCAGGTTGAACACTATTCACCCTGAAGGGAAAGGCCCAATCCAACTACTCGGCAGACAGACCCTCCTTACGCCCTGGCCCGGGCAGCCACCAGTCCCCCAATACGGAAAAGAAAAAGGGAAAGAGGGATACAAAACCTTGCTGTACCCAGGACAAAACATATAATTTTCTTATTATTAACATTGTCTTATAGGCTTTCTATATGTAGGGGCTTTTCTCTTTATTTTTTTTATTTTTATTTTATTTTTTTTTATATATATATGTTTTGCTAAGGAAAGGGGAAAGAAAGGATAAACACCTTGAAATGTCAAATGACCCTGATGTATTAAGGACAAAGCGTATGATCTTAATGTTACCACTACCACTGTTTTTCTACACACACAAATGGGAAGAAATAGAATAAGACAAAACAAAACACAAGATAGGCCACTAGACCCTGAGAAGTGAAGTAAACTTGATACACCGGGGACAAGGCGGTTACTCTCACTGCCACCCAAAAAGAAAAGAGAAGGGAAAGGAGGGGAAGAACTGAGGAAAGGAAAGGGAAGGAAAGGTGACAAACAAACCCCACGCATGCAAAGGTACCCTCCCCTATAACTAACTGACCCTTACACCCACTAATAACCAGAGTCAACACAGACGGCTTACCGTCAAGACATCTCACTGATACAGACGGCCCCCTGGCTCCTGCTTACACAGGCCCTCATAGACCCAAGCACAAACTATACAGGATAGCGACAATCAATAACCTGCATATTCTCTTTGCAGACACCGGAAAGCCTTACCACCTCTATGTCTAGGACCTAACCGTGGCCCTCCCCCTCCAACGACACCAAGCAGTCGGCACCTAGCGACCCGACAACACACCATAACTCAGGTAACGCACACATGGCTCGGAGAGGACGGGAGCTAGGGCTTATCTCCCCTCCAGACAGCTCCAACCCACCACATACGACCTCATCACAACAACCCCCCCCCACTAGGGAACCACTGGTGCTCCCCATCACCAGGACACCAGTACCCTCAAGAGGGATAAGGAAAAGGACCGCACTCAACCGCGGGTACCTACACCCCCTCAACCTCCGCCCCCACCGAGCCTGGCAACAGAGGTATAAGACCAGGGAAATAAACCCAAACCGGGAACCATCCCCCCCTTCCCTCCCCCCTACCTCATCTAAAAGGCGAACCCCTGACCCCCTACATCTAAGAGCCCAGCTTCCCTGGCACGAGACAGACCACCAACGAACAAGCACACAACTAACCCTTCTACCCCAGGCCTACCCAAGACCCCCCCATCCCCAACACCACAGTACACATAACGAGACACTTGGCCACTAAACACCGCCGGCGCCCCGGGAGTAGACCTAACCAAAACCACGACTAGTCACTATGAGCACCAAACTGACATGCATCTCCATCAACTGCAAGGGCCTTAACAACCCGGCAAAAAGACACCAACTGATGAGATGGGCAAACCGCTCAAACGCGGACATAATTCTGCTGCAAGAAACCCATTTTACACAGACCAAATCCTTCCCCCTAACTAATCGACACTACCGGGAATGCCATATGGCAAACTCACACACAACTAAACCAAACGGAGTAGCTATCCTAATGCGGAAAACGTGCCCACTCAGCACCAGACAAGTTATAAAAGACCCACAAGGCAGGTTCATCACACTCACGGGACAGGCAGGGCACAACCTATACGCTATCACCTCACTATACGCCCCGAACACCCCAGACAAAATGTTCTGGGACACTTTTCAAGCCCACCTAGCCCTAACCCCAGGCCACCTCAAAATAATAGGCGGAGACTGCAATGCCACGATGTCGCCATCAATTGACAGACACAGAACAAGGAGACCCCCAAACCCCATACCCAAAATAGACAAACTTTTACAAGACTTTGTGCTGCGACAGAGACTGGTAGAAATCTGGCGCCTGCTCCACCCGACCACCAGGGAATACACATTTTATTCCCACCCACACAACTCGTACTCCCGCATCGACCTCTTTCTGATCTCACCCTCCCTCACACATATGATCCAAACAGCCAACATAGGCAACATTACATGGTCAGACCACGCAGACATCACAATAACAATCAAGGTCCCCGACATAGCCAGAACATGGTCCTGGAAATTAAACAACGGAAGCAATACAAACAGAACTAACAAACTACTTTTCACTAAACATGCCCTCGGCACCCTCACCGGGCATACTATGGGCAGCCCATAAGGCAGTCATAAGAGGCAAAATCATTAGCCTCGCGTCACACCAAAAGAAAACCCAACTAGCCGACCTAGCAAAATCCCTCACAAACCTTAGGACCCTAGAAACAAGCCATAAACGAAACCCCACACAAGACATCCTCAAAGAAATAACAGAATGCCGAACCAAAATTAAAGACTTCGTGACTAAAGACGCAGCCAAAGCCATACAATGGACAAAACAGACCTACTATGAAAAATCCAACAAAGCCGACACCTTACTAGCCCGAAAATTACAACGTAGGACTGATCATAAACGAATAGACGTAATTCAAACACCAGACGGCACCAAACACTCCACTCCGACAAAAATCGGTGAGGTCTTCCAAAAGTACTTTTCCACACTATACGACCATAGCCCCAACCTACATCAACATCCCGAAGACACCAGACAAACCATAGACACATACCTAAGGCAGATACCCTTACCGGCCCTAAAGACAGAAGCCATCTCCAAAATTAGCAAACCAATTACCATCGAAGAAATCGCCAAAGCCATCAAAAACACCAAACCCAACAAGAGTCCTGGACCAGACGGCTTCACAGGACTCTACTACAAGACATTCCCAGCCGCACTCCTCCCACACCTCTGCAATCTGTTCAATTCAATACTGCAGGGAAGCCCCATACCTCCCGACATACTGAGAGCGAATGTCTGCCTTCTCCCCAAGCCAAATAAAACCCACTTAGACCCGAGCCATTACAGACCGATCTCACTGCTGAACGTAGACATAAAGCTACTCACTAAGCTACTCGCAGACAGAATAAACCCCCATGTACATAAACTCATACACCCAGACCAAGTTGGCTTTATACCCTCTAGACAGGCATATGATAACACTAGACGGACGTTCGACCTTCTATGGGTGACCTCACACTGACGCATTCCCACCCTTTTCCTATCCCTGGACGCTGAAAAGGCATTTGACCGACTATTGTGGCCTTTTCTCTTCGCCACCCTACACAAATTCCAGTTCCCCGACCCAATCCTTAACGCACTTAGAACTCTATACTCAGCACCAGAGGCGAACCTCTTAATTCCGAACACCCAACCCCCATCATTCCGCATCTTTAACGGAACAAGACAGGGCTGTCCCCTCTCCCCGCTTCTATTTGCCCTCTCTCTGGAACCCCTACTACAAGCCCTGCGCATGGACCCATCGATAGCGGGCGTACACATTAGAAAGGAAGAATATAAAGTGGCCGGATATGCAGACGACCTACTCCTCACCATTACAGACCCAACTAACTCGCTCCCACCACTACTGCGCACCATAAACGATTACTCACAGGTTTCAGGCTACCGCCTCAACCTGGATAAAACAGAAGCACTGCCAATACAAATCCCTCAAGAGGACCTCGATACACTAAAAACTAATTACCCGTTCCACTTCAACCCCACGCACATACACTATTTAGGGGTAGACCTACCAGCAGACGTATCCCAGACATACCGACTCAACTACTCCCCCCTACTACAAAGAGCGAAGGCCGACCTTAAAATTTGGGAATCCCACTCCATCTCCTGGCTAGGAAGGGTGGCATACATAAAGATGAACCTCTTACCGAGATTTTTATATCTATACCAAACACTACCAGTTCAGATAACTACCAAAGACTTTAAACTACTACAAACACAAATTGATCGCTTCATTTGGGCCAACAGGCGAGCAAGGATTAGGAGAGATATCCTCTACCTCCCGACAAGATCAGGAGGTCTCGGCCTCCCCCACTTTCTTCACTACTTCCACGCAGCACAACTGGCACAAATCCAGGCACTCCATGCCCCCATTGGGTTGAAGAGATGGGCAGATCTTGAACATGACTTGTTTGGTCAGGATTTCCCT